CACACATTATGTTGCTTGAACTTCGACATATTGCCTCACAGTATTATTATGCATCAGCCTTAAAAGAAAGCTTTGTTTTGTCTTTAACAGTCAAATCAGACCTCACAACACAAATGTCAGATGACAGTATATTTGTGTACAGCACATTTGGCGGAGAAGATAATCAGGGCCACAAAATATAGTTCAAACCACTTGGTTCTGTGAAGATGAGGAAACATCGCCTTTTAGCCTCCCTCAAGAACTAAAACATGAAACTGAAAGCTACATTTCACATCATTTCAAGAGAATGAAAACCAGGTTCCAAAGTGAAACAATGAAAGCCCTTGTTTACAGATAAAAGAATAAGACTGCACAATTGTGATAAGAAACATGCAACATGAAAGTAACTTGTTTCTAAAATGTATTTATGCATCTGTGCATGTATTTCCCCCCTTTTATAGCTCATTGATTGAATAATGTACTGTATGGGTATCTTCCCTAATTATTTCTATTCTCGAGTTTTTTAGTGCATGCAGTAGGCTGTATGTGAGAGGATGGAAGATCTTCTAAATACACTTTGAGTTTTTATTATTGAGGAGATAACTAATCCAATAAAAATACAAAATGCAAATGAACCCCCCCCACCCAAAAAAAAGTTTCTTGCCATGTGTTAATTACCGCCAGTGAGTTAACAAAATCCATTATTGAGATTCAGAAGTAAATTACTTTAAAATATTCAATATTATATTGTGAATTGATGTGATTATCTTCCCATCTCCTTTAAGAGTAAAGCTATATAGCTATTTTCCTCTGACAGTAAAATTCCAACTCATATGCATAATTATTTTTCACCCACTTGCTATTATACGTTTATCACTTCCTCTTCTGAGCATCAATATAAACTGGGCAGAAGACGCCTCTCATCCTAGACTTGCTTCACTCCACATCTGATCTCAGCCTCAACATGTCACTGCTCTCTTATTTACTGCTGGCAGCTACTGCAGCCTGCTGCTTCACAACCCTCTTTGGTAAGAGTATAGAAATTTATTTTATTTTAGTGGTGCAGCATTCTGTGTGGTCAATATTATGTGGTGTTTTTATACAAAGATGTCTGTACAAACCAAGTGCTTTCGAAGTTTAAAAGGTGGATCTGTTAAAGGGTAAAATGTGCTATAATTTACTGCAGGTTAATTATGCACTCAACTGTTGTCCTAATTATTTTTTAACATACTAGCCATTTATTCTGTCTTTTTTTATTTCTGATAGAATGGTTACAACATGTCATTCTAACTGTATCTACATGGCTTCTTTCAGCATTGCCAATGGATGGTGTTGCTACCAACAGCAACTGTCAGTGTGTGACCACCACCTCATCCATAATCCCATCTCGGCTGTTCCAGAGGATTGAGATCCTGCCTCCGGGAGCACACTGTCGCAAAACTGAGATCTTGTGAGTCATGATGTTTTGCTTCTACTCATCGGTGGCACACACACTTCAATCACAGACATGAGGGAAATGTGCAAGGGGGTGCATGTTTCCTCTGTTCTGACAAACCTCAGTGCTCTCGAAAATGTGTTACATTTTTCATTAATTTGCCCACGCAGCTCTCAAGACAAATGTCACTTATTGCCCATACATTTGTGTAAGACAGGCATATATTGTTGCATATATTTATTAAATCATTTTAAATTCCTCAGGATTACCAAAAAGGACAACAAAACAGTTTGCATAGACCCTGAAGCACAATGGATCAACAAAGTCCTCACAAGAGTAATGAGGAGGTAGGGTTTAAGTCTTAACTCCCAAAAACAAGACTGTCTAAGCTAGAATTGACCTTTTGTTTTATCTTTCTTTGCATTGTCTAATGGTCGTCTTTTGTTTCTTTTTCCTACTGTACAGCAGAAGAAGTGTAAAGGAAAGTGCCGAGCCCACTGCGGCATAAATCAAAGCGGACAAGAACAAAAGACATTTTCCACTTCCTACTTTTCAACTATTCCTTTTCGTTAAACAGGCAACTCAAGTGTGCTGAATGTTATCAGGCCATATTTACGTAGTCACAAATTTGTTATCGTAGGCTGTCTACAAAATCTGTAATTATTCTTTTGAAATAAAACTCACAACCTTCTTCCTTTAAAATGACATCTTTATTGCCTTTAAGGTGGGAGACTAGGACAAGACTTTGTTGAGAATTTCTTGTTTTATAAATGGGCCACATGTAGCACCATTTTCATTTGTAAACAGAAAGTTTTTTCCCCCAATATAATCATCACCATATATGTTCATAGACTAAACAAGATTTACAAAATGTGTATTCCTCAGCGGAGGAGAAACTGCATGAAAAAAACTCCCAAAGTCAATGAGAAAAATCCAGTGATTAAGTCATCATCTCATTGGGAAAATGCTCTTTTTTGGATATTCTAATAATTGTTTCTCAAGGTTCTTAGCAAAACAATACTTTACATCATCTTACAATCATGCAAGTCCTTCATTAATTTGAATTTCTTATCAAGACTGACCTCAAACCCTGGTGCCATAATCCATATTCAATGAAAGACTACTGCTATTTTCCACATGCTTTTATTACTAGTTTAAAAATACTGCATGTTCATCAATCTTGATTAAAATACCTGGCCATTCAGACCCTTTGCCATGAAGAAATATGCTCAGCTTGTTCAGTGGGAATTTCTGTAAGGAGAACACATGTATCCACCAGAAAACAAAACTACTGCTACCACTAAACTGTTGATTGCAAATTGACGTGCTTACAGTTATAAAAACATAACTGTATCACGGCCACTTAAGTAGTCACCATGTCTCTCTGGTGAAGAGAAGAGATGGACAGATGAATGGATGAGTGGATGGAAGGGTGCAGGGATGGATGCAATGTTGATTGCAAATTGACTTGCTTACAGTTATAAAAACATAACTGTATCACGGCCACTTAAGTAATCACCATGTCTCTCTGGTGAAGAGAAGAGATGGACAGATGAATGGATGAGTGGATGGAAGGGTGCAGGGATGGATGCTGGTGCTGGCTCACTCTGTAAGCGTCTTGCTTTCACAGGCAGTACTGCTGTAGAAAAGATGGTTCAGACTAGGCACAGTTTGATCAAAGAGGAATGCTCTACTTATCAATTTCTGCAAAAGTGACAAAAAGTGAAAGCACTGATGAAAAGACTAAAAATCTCAAATGTGAAGGTGTTGCACATATCCAAACCAAATATGTCATTAAATTGAACAGGGATGGGAGTTAATCAGTGTGGTTATCGTTTATATTCTGAAGTTTGATGGCAGTAAGTGTTAAGTAGCATGCAGCACACATAGTCCAACACTAAATAGTCCACTTCAGCACCTCTGAGCTTCCTTTTGAAATGTATTACTCACACCAGCTCAGCACAGAACAAGGCACAGTCTGCTGAAGCATGTTAGGGAAGCTATAGCTTTGTACAAAAAAGACATTAAGTGAGCCTGGATGTGTCGAATAGACAAATACGATCAACAACCTACGCTCCTCACAGGTTAAACATCACAAAATGCTCCAGGATTTTAACTCAAGATCTTGCTTTATACATTTTGATGATTGCTATTTTTTAGTTTATAAAAGTCTGAATTCATGCAGGGAAATGTTCTCACAGTAGTCATGTGACAGACAACACTAATGCCACTGACATCAAATAAATGCTTTAGAAAATTTAATAGTTTGCCCAAATTCATTCAGTTTAAGACTATAAATACACTACACAACTTTTACCACGGTTTGCACTCTTGACAAGTTGACACTAGCTGCCTAAAGTCAGAGCAAATGCAGATTTGAGTTGACAGATTTCACAGAAAATCACAGTGTATATGATGGGCACAGACTTTTTTCTTTTTTTTTTCGCTTCGGACTATGAACTATGTCCAGTCGGACAACATCAAAAATGTCTTGAGATGATTTTACAACGCATATCGTTTTAACTGGTTATTCGTCTCCTAGCAATGACAGATATGTTTCTGTGTTAGTTTGCTGTATTCGGAACAATACATAAATTCAGATTTTCAACGTTGTGTAGCGTATTACAGCTTTTAGAGAAATTTAGCGAATGATTGCGTTTTAACTCGCCAACCTTGAAAACCATAAATATGTAGATATAACAGTGAGAACAGCCTTTAACTACAGAAACGCCCTCGAATCGTATAGTTGTGCCAAACAAATAAAATGAAAGAATCATGTCATTTTTCTCTTCTCCAACAAATCACAAAATGACATTTATAAATTAACATTCATCCTGTACCGATGCAGCTGACAAGCCATTAAGCATTGAAACAAATGTGAAACAACAGGACTAAGCTGAATTAGCCTGAGTTAAAGGGATAGTTCACCCAAAAATGAAAACTGTTCCACAGAAGAAACAGTCATACAGGTTTGGAACACCATGAGGGTGAGTAAAATATGACAGTATTTTCATTTTTGGGCAAACTATGCCTTAAACCCCTAGGTAGTCTTCAGTAGCAATTATAAATTGTACCAATAACGTCAACCATCTACCAATCAGAGATTCTCGCTGACATCATGAGATCACTGAGGCAGGGAGGACTTGTATTGTGTAAATATACATCAGTACGGTGATGTGATTTAGATGCTGATGCAAGCAGCAAGAGAAAACCGCACAGCTGGGTTATAATCAGTAGGGCTGGGATCCTCTTTAATAGTGTACATTTTTGACCAAAAGACAAGTTTGCATAATACTTTACATTGCACTATTAAGAATTTTCAATTAAAAATAGATTGCTGAAAATTCCAACTTCGCCGCAGTGTTTCAGTTCATAACCTTAATGCAAATCCATCCTCCGATAACATCCTGCACAGGATGCAGTAACTAATATTTGACTGCATAATAAAGAGACAAATGGGGTTTTATTGTACTGGGAAATTCACAGATTTAAATGCTTTCATAATGATTTCTTGTCAAATTTATGAGATGCTGAAGGGGAATTTAAAAGAGGATGCTAAATGAAACATCTTTTTTGTAATACTCTTTCTGACACTGTTATGCTACATGATCTGTCTTCGCTTAAGTTACACATTTCTACCATCCAAATATTGACACATGGCTTACACAATCTCACATTTAGACTCAGACAAACAGATCGATTTCCCTGAAAGCAGCGTTTGTTTGGTACCAAACAGAGAATCCCAACCCTAATTTGGTATTAAGCTTTTGTTTTCATGTTGGAAAACGTAATAAGATCATATAATCGTGTGCAAAGGTTAAAAAAGGAACAAAGTAGGTGAGTACTTCACTCCTTAATGTGTGTGCCTATATTTGTAGGAGCTCATCATTCGTCCATGGTTTGGGGAAGGGGCCTGCACTACCTGTGGACAGGCAGATGCAGCCCGTTGAGGGGGGGTAAAGGCGGGTGGTACTCCAGCTGAGCCAGAAGGGAAAAGTGATCGGAGGGGATGTGCGGGTGGGGGCAGCCGGTTATGTTGTTGTCCTTCAGCCACTGAGTCTCCAGTGGACCCAGAACGCCCAGAACACGCATCTGTGTCTTAGAGAAGATGATGTAGTCAATCACGCCCTACAAAAAAGGAGAAAGCAGGTTTCAAAAATGGGTAAAAAAAAAAGATAAATAAAAATCTGTGACAATAATATAAAATTAGGAGCCAGCAGCTCCTAGTGCACTGGTTTCAGTGCAATACAATAACAAAGCAAATCACAATTCACTAAAACCGTGAAACCTAAATATATCTGAATTATGTATCTCCTCACCTTGAAGTCATAAGTGTAGTTGGTGTAGGGCATGAGATTCCCCTCGTAGGCACTCTTCAGCTGGAAACTGTGCGTGATACTGCCATCGGGCTTGCCGTTGCAACTGAAGTTGGTTAAGCAATCGCTGTAACGCAGTTCCTTAAAGTCTTTGTGATTTTCTGCAACTCCACCATTACTTAGATACTCCACCACACCTGTGAAAGGCCAGGAAACCTAGTAATGCTGAGACAAGAGCTTCATGCCGAATCTAAATTTTATGTCCATATTTCTCTTAGGAATGACATTAAAGGGGTCATATGATGCAATTTCAATTTTTCCTTTCTCTTTGAAGTGTTACAAGCTCTTGGTGCATAAAGAAGATCTGTAAAGTTGCAAAGACTAAAGTCTCAAATCCAAAGAGATATTCTTTATAAAAGTTAAGAGTCAGCCACGCCCTCCTAAAATGGCTCGTTCTAACACGCCCCCACATGTCTACGTCACGATGTGGGATATTTGCATAACGCCGCCCAAATGTTAATGCAAAGAAAGAAGGCGTAACTTTTATTCTCGTTGTAGTATTGTTGCCACCGCCGCTATGTCGTGAAGGCGCGGTGTGATTCGTTGTGAAAGCTAAACTACTTTGTTTGGCCTTCCAAAAGAGGACGATATCGCTTCGTCATGCCTGGAGCTGATCCGTGCTGGTTGCTGAGGAAATACAACAACTTTGCGCTGATTTCATTACACCAAATACACAAAATAATGTTATTTTTAGCACCATCATATGACCCCTTTAAAGAATAATTCACCCCCCAAAATTAAAATTAGGTCGTCATTTACTCACCTTCATGCCATTCCAAACCTGTATGACTTTTTCTTCTGTGGAACATAAAAAGATATTTTGAAAAATGTCTCAGTGGGTTTTTGTCTATACAACGGAAGTCAAAGGTTACCTGCATTCTTTAAAATATCTAATTTTGTGTTCCACAGAAAGTCATAGAGATTTGAAACAACATGAGGGTCAGTAATGACAGAATTTTCAATTTGGGATGAACCATCCCTTTAATATTGCAGCAGGTGGACATAGACACTTATCCTATTACAAGGAACGCAAAGCCAACTGCCTGCCATCCACTTCATGGGCGCTATATTACGGCTTGCTTACGTGGACTTCTTGAACTCATCTTAGTTGGAATTTACACAATATAGATTGCTCAAGTGAGTTCCCCATTCCCTCTAACTATTTATCTTCAATAAGCAGTTCCAGACATCACTTACCAGAGTCTGGGAGGGAGTTGAGGTCAGCGCACAGGACTATAGGGATGGTGCTGGTGTCTGACGTGGGTGATGCAGAGTTGATGGAGCCCGATGCCCTCTCAGTGATGCTCTTTAGCTCAGACAGGAACATCATGGTCTGGATGAGCTTCACATCTGAGAACTCTGGATCCCAGTGCATGTGGGCATTAGCTACCAGCAAGAACGGTTTCTCTGCAGGCTGCTTTAAACCTGCATTATAACACCAGTAAAACGAATGGGATGGAAGTATTTTACTAAAGAGGAAGCAAATGGAGCTGTAACATCTAAATAAGATCTTTTATAATCAAGGTCATTGCTCCTAGTTCAGAGAAATTCAAAAGCTGAATGTGAACAGGAAACTCTGTTTTCAAAGTGTAATCAGTATTGCAATATTTTGAAAACACAAAAATATTGTAGATTGTAGGGGGAAAAAAAATGAAGAATACGCTGAGAAAGAAGAAATAAAGCAGAACTCATCAAAAAGTGTGTATGCTTAAGAAATTGTATTCAGCTGTATTGAGGCATCATGAAGGAATTAATAAGTATATTATCACTGAAATCCAACCTAACACTGAATTCAACCACAGGATTTAATTTTATATATCAGAGCAGCATATCACTTATGACTAACTTGAATTACCAAATTTTGACAGACATAAATGTTTCATAATTTCATTTAATTGCAGCTGCATCTTCTAAAACATTCAGAGAATGCTACTGATGTTATTTTCAAAGTGGCCAATATCTAGATATCCAATTTCCTAACCTGCCACACATAGCAAAAATGTTTAAAAAAAATCTAACGTAATAAATAAATACTAATATACTCCGAATAATTTGTTTGATGTCGAATCATTTTTGGGCTCAAAATTAATTCTACTGACACAGTGTTGTTTGTGAACATTAATTTATTTTCAGAGACACTATTATTGTCCTCTCATGTAAACATTTTTAACTTTGTGATTTGCTGCCATCTACAGGACAAAGCTAAACAGAAGGTGTGTCAGTGAAGAACAGGAAACCTAAATTGAGCTATTTAATGTGAACTACAGAGTTATCATTCAAGGTCCTTACCACTAGCAAACAAGTCTTTCTTCACCTCCAACAGGACAGCTACTCCGATGTTATCTTTGGTCATGACTCTGTTTAGCATAACCTCCGAGCCCTCCGAGTTTGCCATGGCAACCTGATTGAACTCCACTGTGTGTTTCTGCACCAGAGTAAATCTAGAAAATAAAAAAAAAGTGCACAAGATGAGCTTAATATCATTTCATTTTAAACCTTGTAAGAAGACAGAGGGAGATTCTCACTTCTCAGTCTTGAAGAACACAGCACAGCCATCCACATGTTTCCGCTCCTGTTCTGACATGAGTTTGGCACGAGACTTTGGACAGAAAAAGCCATCATATCCACGCTCTTTCAGTGTTTCCAGAAAGAAAGTGTAGTACTGCTCTGTTTCCACCTCCTGCACATGAGTTCAGTAAAGTTGGCAACGTATTCACCGATTCGAATTTCTCAGATCAATAACTTGTGAGCTAAAAGTTGTTACTACACAAATAACACCTCTTTTCAATCGTAGACAACTCTGCACATGCAGCTGGAGAATGAGCGTTAGAGCAAAGTATAAAACACTGCTGATATTAAAGCACCACACTCAAGTCTAAAGAATGATATTCAAAAGGAATTGCATTTTCAATTTGTGGACGCATATGTTGAGACATAATCCAAACGCAATTGAACAAAGTGGGTGTTGATGAGTTTTAAGTTTGGTGTTTGACAAAGAGCAAACAGAAAGAGAAAGCGTGATCCATGTTATAGCTCTTTATATGAAGCATACAGATTTTAGTCAAGCCACAGATAAGCTTTTTGCTGAAAAATGCACAATACACAATCTTCCAGCCTAGGGTGAAGTCATTGTATACATCAACAATAATTTGGGACAAATCTAAAGTGATTTAATGGAAAACTAGTGAGTGGTGCTCTGTGGCGCGGACAGATGCTGAGTGGCGCCGCCGGTGTGCGTACACTCATAGAAAACAGTTTGTCCGAATTTTAAAGACGTGGTGTGGCGCTGCGCTTCTCGTCCGGTGTGAGACCCCGTTCAGTTGTGAGGTTCCACAGATGTATGTAAGATTTCTTCTTGATGTTGCTTGTTTGTTTGCAGGTAATAACTATTTAGTTCCAGGTTTTTGGCATTGTTTGAAGTGAAAGAAAAAAACCTCCCAAACAACAGTTTTATGACTTTTTTGTTGCAAAAATAGAGACATTTATTGGCTATTTGTCCCCATTTTCCTCATAATGCTAAGTTCACACTACAGGATTTTAAGCCCGAGTTTGCAAGTTACCGAGCTCGCCGACAGGTCGGGCTGTGATCCGGGGAAAATCAGCGGGTGATTGGCACTCGGCAATCTTTATGTGTGAACTACTCAACGACGCATCAAAGAGGCTCGCTAACGCGTCGCCGACACCTCTCCGACGGCAAACAAATATCTAGCATGCTAAATATCTGGACCGGTCAGCCAAGATTGAGGTCTCTGCAGAGCAAAAGTGGGCGTTTCTGAATTTGTGGGTGTTTTCAAACTGCAGGGTGTTTCTCAATCATGCAATCAAAATTATCCCACTTACCTAACCCCACCCCTAAACCTACCGTTACTATGACGTCAGCCAATCAGGAAACATGGTCTAAGAACGCCCCGATCTGGTAACTCCCATTACTTTCCTGCAGAGACCTATGCTTGGGTCGGCCGACTCAACATCACATGGTGTCAGGTGTCGTGATGAGCTACAGCCAATGAGAGAGCAAGGCATGGGTTGAGGTCACCGAAAGAAAAACAACAGCAGCAACATGGCTTAAAGAAAAGTTTGGACACAATAAATGGAGCAAACAGCTTGCAGTGCTAATTTCTTCCCGACATCCATTTTCAAATAAACAACTCCTGTTTCACGTGTTGTTTCGCGTCATTCCCGTTCCAATTCTCGCGTGTGTTTTCGTGACAAAACGTGGTTTGTAGAGTCGTTGGGTGACAGAGTTGTTGTCAGCTTGTGTAGTGTGTAACCACCGGTTGCGGATCATTTACACAGAGTCATGTAGTGTGAACACCACAATGACTTAAAGACAGACAATCAAGTCATGTAGTCTGAACAGCACAGCGATCTGCCGACGTTTAAAGTCATGTAGTGTGAACTTAGCCTAAGAATGAATAAAAATGAAAACGGTTCTTGGTTTTCCACCAGTAGTGGACGTGGCATACTTTCCGACTATATCAATAAACCCCACACTCAAGACTGATTGCCAGCTGACTGTGTTAGGCATTGGAAATGCAAGAGCAAAGGGGATTGTGATTCCATTTGAATTTTGTGAGGGTTGGAGCAGGACGTGGAGAAAGTGAAATAGCAAATGAGTTATTCTCTATTGATATTCCAAAATGACAGAATCATAACTTGTAAGACATTGGAAATGCAACTGAAAATGGACTTTGCATTTCCATTTAAAATTGGGCAGAGATGTTACATACACGGAAAAGAAAATGGAAACACAAATGCACGATTTGCAATTTCTTTTGAAAATTATCCGGAATATCCTTCCATACAAGTCACGTGGAATATATTGTTTACACATATTTAATAATTTAGCTTCCTTGTTTACGTAAAGCACTATATATTGATTCATTATATTAGAAGTTATATGCATGAGCGGTACACTAGCTTTTTATGTTTGGGGTCAGTAAGATTTTCTTTTGTTAAGAGATTCATAATTTTATTAATTTGCACTAAATTGATCAAAAGTGACACTAAAGACATTTATAATGTTACAAAAATGTTCTATTTCAAATAAATGCTTCTCTTTGAACTTTCTATTCATCATAATCCCCCAAAAATGTATTACAGCTTCCACAAAAACATTAATCAACTGTTTTCAGTAATAATAATAATAATAATAATAAGAAGAAGAAATATATCTTGAACACCAAATCAGCACATTAGAATGATTTCTGAAGTATCAAGCGACACTGAAGACTACAGGTGCATCTCAATAAATTAGAATGTCGTGGAAAAGTTCATTTATTTCAGTAATTCAACTCAAATTGTGAAACTCGTGTATTAAATAAATTCAATGCACACAGACTGAAGTAGTTTAAGTCTTTGGTTCTTTTAATTGTGATGATTTTGGCTCACATTTAACAAAAACCCACCAATTCACTATCTCAACAAATTAGAATATGGTGACATGCCAATCAGCTAATCAACTCAAAACACCTGCAAAGGTTTTTCAGTCTGTGTGCATTGAATTTATTTAACACATGAGTTTCACAATTTGAGTTGAATTACTGAAATAAATGAACTTTTCCACGACATTCTAATTCATTGAGATGCACCTGTAATGTAATGGCTGCTGAAAATGCAGCTTTGCCATTACAGGAATAAATTACATTTTAAAGGGGACATAACACATACAGTTTCAGCCAATCTCATGTTAATCTTGAGTACCTATATAGTAGTATTGCATCCTTTATACATTCGAAGTGTCTTTAGATTTGTCAGATTTATAAAAGAAATATACAGCTTTAGGCTTCTCTCCAAAAAAACAGCCGAGTTCCTTTTTAATTTTGAAACAGGAGCTTCATACCTGCAGGCTGATGATGTCAGCATCACAGTTCGTGATCTCCTCCATGATGCCTTTCTTCCTGTACTCCCAGTTAAGGGCCCATGAGGGACAGTAGCCGTACAACTGTCTTGTTGCATACTTGTCGCTCAGTACGTTGTAACACATTACTGTGAACACAGCTTGAGAACACAAGCATTTAATATTAGCTTTGCTCCTTGCTATAGCATGATTTTTAAAAACCAGTGACGGGGTGCTAGTAGGTACCTGTGGGCATCATTTGGTCTTGCTCCCTCAAAGTGATCCAAGGCCTTTGGGGGAGTTGTTCTGGGTGGACTAATATTGGGAGGGGAAAAAGTAGAAGAAAATTAAATGAATACCTTATCTGTATTGTATTAATAAACAGCTATGCAACTGTGTCCGTTATTACCTGCAAGATTGTCAAGCATGTAATTCAATAATTTCCTTGTTCCATCAGGCTCCTGATACAGGTTGAGTATATCCTGGGACAATGGATTACCTGGGAAAGAAATTTTGTTCTCAGGCCTAATGAAAAATATTGCATGCTTGTTCTGCATGTACTGTATAATATAAAACATTTGTTAAAAAAAAAAAAAAAATCTTTACCTTTGAGGCCAAGTGTTTGCAACTGGAAAAGCCGGCCAAGTTCATAAGGCAAAACTCGTAAACAGTTGTTGTTCAAAAGCAATTCCCTAAAAAAATACACTAAGTAAGAAACAAATGTGACCATATAACAAGGCGTCTGTTTAGTGTAACTGGATAAAATCGCTCAAAGCAAAAAAAAAATGGCCTAAACTATTTCTGAGACACTAGGTTTAATAGAGTAATAAGTCCAGTTGAGTCACATCCTAATTAGTTTTATTATATATATTTTCTCTATTTTATACAAATATTTTTAATGGCACTTGTCTTTGAGAACCTGTAATAATGCTGAAAGGTCAATAAAACTATTTGACCTAATTTCAGTCTGAAGGGAATCCGTAGAGATTGACCAATTTGTCACGTACCTGAGAGTCACCATGTTGCCGAGTTCTGCTGGCAAGCTGCGCAGTTTGTTGGAGGACAGGTTTAGGTAGACGAGATGGGGTAGCTTTGAGATTTCAGGAGGAATCCGGCTAAGGTTGTTGTTGTTGATGTGGAGAGCAGTCAGATGGGTCAGCGTCCATAGTGAGCTGCTGAGACTTCTGACCCGCCCTGTACAATGGAAGCACAGGCAGAGTGCACAAATATTTTCCAAATTTCCCAGAGAACACACATACTGATATATGTATATACTCAGCAATGCATGTCACTTTGGATCAAAGCATCTGCCACTTTTTAAAGGGGTCATATGATGTTGCTAAAAAGAACATTATTTTGTGTATTTGGTGTAATGAAATGTGTTTATGCGGTTTAAAGTTCAAAAAACATTATTTTCCACATATTGTACATTTCCCACAAAATCTTCCCACACAGTGACATAGACATGTGGGGGCGTGTTTAAACGAGGCGTTTTAGGAGGGCGTGGACGAGTCTTAACTTTCATAAAGAATATCTCTTTGGGTTTGAGACTTTAGTCTTTGCAACTTTAGGGATCTTATCTATTCACAAACAGCTTGTATCACTCCAAAGAGAAAGGAAAACTTGAAATCGCATCATATGACCCCTTTAAGCAGGTCAGTATAAGTAGGCTTTCACGTTCACTGATTTATTCATTAATTTCTCTCATGTCAATTTACTGTACCTTCAGTAGCACATTCATAAAAATACATTCATTGTATGAGTTGAGGCATGAGGAATAATAACGAACCAGAAATCTCCAACTCGGTCCAGTGTGACTTCTTCCCACTGGCTGCTTCCTCTGCTGACATGATGGTATATAATCTGCGTGGGTCTGGAGGATCATATTTTTCCTTTGGCATGCCTATTAATCTGAAAATACATGTAGAAAATGAACAATTAAACATCATTTCTTTTAGTTACAGCATGTCACTCAGGTCATTTTTCTCTCAGCTACAGTATTACTCATTTTCTCAAAATGTCTGTAAGAAATCATCATAAACCGAGAGAAAGCTGAAAGCCTGATCTATGTACCTGCTGGCAGCGTAATTGTATTTGCAATGTTCATTTTGTGAATGCTGTGAGACTCCCTCTAAGGCCTCAGATCAAGCCAGATCACCCTTAGACAAACTGGCATTATGTAAACATGATGTAAATCAGTCAACAAACCAACAACTGCACTTGAACTTGTGACAAGGAAAAACTTTTTTTCTGACATCAGTTAAGAATTGCTTAAGTTCAATTTAAAATAAAGCTAAAGAAAAAAAACAAACAATATGTAGGTACTAAGTGAAGCTGTAAAATATCAACATCTCACCAACACTGCAGTTCAAAAGTTTGGGATTGGAAAGAAGTCTCTTATGCTCCCCAAGGCTGCATTTATTTAATCAAAAATACAGTAAAAACAACAACATCATAAAATATATTATTACAATTTGAAATAACTGCAAAGATTTTACTCTCTCTCAATAATTTTATGTTTTCTATTTTAATATAGGCCTATTTTAAAATGTAATTTAACCCCCGTGAAAGGAAAGCCGAATTTACAGCAGCCATTACTTATCACTTATCTTCTTCAATGTCATACTACCCTTAAGAAATCATTCTAATATGCTGATTTGGTGCTCAAGAAACATTTCTTAATATTATCAGTGTTAAAAACAGTTGTGCTGCTTAATATTTTTTGTGGAAACTGTGATACATTCTTTTAGGATACTTTGATAAATAGAAAGTTTAAAAGAACAGCATTTATTTGAAATAAAAAGTTTTATAATAATTATAAATGCCTTTACTGGCATTTTTGATCATTTATTGCATCCTTGTTGAATAAAAGTATTAATTTATTAAAAAAACAATTATTTACTGACCCCAAACTTTTTAACCATAGTGTATGTTCTAGAAACCAGGCCAAAGTGAGAGATCCTGAGTGCTTACCGAGAGACAGACAGACGGCTGATGTTTACACTGATACATTGAACTGTTTGAGTAGTTGATATCTCTCATGCCGAGCCAAAACATTATGGCAGGCTAGGGCACTGACAGAGTTTAAAGGGGTCATATGATGCGATTTCAAGTTTTCCTTTCTCTTTGGAGTGTTACAAGCTGTTCGTGAATAGATAAGATCCCTGAAGTTGCAAAGACTAAAGTCTCAAAACCAAAGAGATATTCTTTATCAAAGTTAAGACTCTGCCACGCCCCCCTAAAACGGCTCGTTCTAACACGCCCCCACATATCTACCTCACTATGTGGAAATATTTGCATAATGCGCCCAAATGTGGACGCAAAGAAAAAAGGCGTGGTTTCAGTAACCACAGTTAGTGTTGATGCAGCCATGTCGGAGAGATGCTGTGTGTTTCTAGGCGAAAGCAAAAGCACTTTATTTGGCCTTCCAGAAGTAGATGCATTTAGGAATCTTTAAGGTTACTTACAACAGAACAGCAATGCATTTTATGGACGAGCCTGTCAGAAATCATAGCATGTGTCTTAAGGATATTGCGGCTTGTGTACTGCATCATTACTGTGTCTGTTCCCCTTTCGGGCTTGAACTGATGGTAAAACTAATGACATTATTTACTGTCTTTACATTTATTTTGAAAGATGAAGCTCGCGATTATGGTAAGGGGCGTTACATTTCCGACGAGTGCTTGCGGTGTTCGGCCAATCACAATGCACTGGGTCAGCTGGCCAATCAGAGCAGACTGCGCTTGTCGGAAGGAGGGACTTTGTAGAAAACGAAGCGTTTGAGAGAGGCGGGGCATAGAGGACCTACAATAATGTACAGTATTTGAAAAATAATGTGTTTTTTGAACATTAAAGCATGTCAACATATTCTGTTACACCAAATACACAAAATAATGATCTTTAAAAAAGCATCATATGACCCCTTTAACTTAGCTGAACTTTGGAGATGTCGCAGTAGGATTGTTTTTTTTTTAATCAATCCCTTTCAGCTGTAAAAGATGAAAGCAAAACAGCACTTTTACATAACTCCCTATGAATAGGTAAAAACACCACCAGCGAGAGCTTTTAAACAGACGACTGCCCTTATTAATTGCCTTTTATAGAAAGAACATGTGGTACGCTGTAATCATTCAGTCGCAGCTGTTACATACACAAGAGCACATGCCAAACTCTTAAGAGCTGTTCACTGTGTGTATTGTGAATTCTGTAGTCTTTATCTGTCACTGAACCGCTGTGTATATGGCCATGTGACAATAAAAGTTATTTGATTGAACGCTACGGCGTATAATATGCAAATGAACGCTTGGTCACGATGATGACAGCCAAGGAGTTACGTAACCCGCTCTTTGAAGTTACCAAGCAACTTGTGTGAATAAAACAAACGCACAAGTTCCGAGCTGAACCTAACTTGGACTCTTCAAAAACATAGCGGTGTTTCGCGTTACAGGTAAAAGAAACTATGTGGCGTGTAATGGGTTGAAACACTTCTCTCGTGTTTATTAAGTTACAGCACACGCCGTCTCCTTAGCCGATCTTCTGGAGGTAGAGCTGGGGACATCAGGCGTATTTGACATCCAAAAATCACCACGCCGGAATGCAGTACGTAGATTCTTACCTGCATTCGGGCGGTGGGAGAGGAGCTGCTGGTGTGATATGATCAGAGACATACAGACAAACTGCGACCGATCCTCATCCTGAGAGTCTGGCAGAAGGAAGGACAACACTCTGTCTGAGCTTCCGCTTCAGTCCACGGCCCCCTTACAACCAACGATAGGAAGTCCGACTCTTTTCCGCGAATCGGTTCTTTTGAACCTTTCGTTTTTAAGAACCGAGTCACATGGCCCCTGATGTTTTCTAGTTTAGTTAGTTGCATGATTCAGTTTATAAAAACAAAGGCATTGGAACTTAAATTTATATTTACATTAAACAATGCTAAATTCGATTACATCTTTGGCTAAAGTTTTGCACGTAATAAAATACTGTAATTTGTTTCGTACATGTTGATGTCATAATTATTAATTTAGGCTACTAAAGCCAAGGCTACTAATTTTCGACATTTCTGTTAATGAAAGTATATCCTTGGTTTACCCCAAATGCTCTTACTGTCAGAGCACTTATCGTTCTGGGATCGCTTTAAGAACCGAGTCACATGGCCCCCGATGTTTTCTAGTTTAGTTAGTTGCATGATTCAGTTTATAAAAACAAAGGCATTGGAACTTAAATGTATATTTACATTAAACAATGCTAAATTCGATTACATCTTTGGCTAAAGTTTTGCACGTAATAAAATACTGTAATTTGTTTCGTACATGTTGATGTCATAATTATTAATTTAGGCTACTAAAGCCAAGGCTACTAATTTTCGACATTTCTGTTAATGAAAGTATATCCTTGGTTTACCCCAAATGCTCTTACTGTCAGAGCACTTATCGTTCTGGGATCGCTTCGAATGCAAATCAGACAGGGCTCCGTTTCCCAAAAGCATCGTACAATTTTCCATTGTCACCAATGAAGCTACGATCAACTAGGCTTACGATGCTTTTGGGAAACGCAGCCCAGGGGCCTCATTTATAAAACTCTCCGTAGATTTCATCCTAAAAGTGTACGTACGCTCAAAAGCTAGATTTTGCTTACGCACAAAAGTTTTCAGATTTATAAAACCATGCATACGCCAGAACCTGCGCGTACATGCGTCTCCTCCCCAAAATCACCATATGTGGAGCTTACAACGCCTTGTTTTACTATGCATAACCTCATCTGCATATCATTTCCATGCATATTCCCATCCACGTGACACCATGTTTAACACTGTCAAAGATAAATACATCAAGGAAATATGAGATACGGACTATAAATGCCATTTGTGCCATACATTAATTCTTATTTCTAAAAATCATCCAATATCCTTGTTATGTTTTAGAATAAATATATCAAGATAAAAACAAAAATAAAAAACAAAAACTGTTTAAAATAGTTTTCAGATAAATATTTTAGAATAGAGTTGATCTCATTCTTTAACACTGGCCAAATAGTAGCCTATTTCAATTGTTTTAAACAATTCAAATCAAACTAAATGTATGCAGTTTTGCTAATAAGGTGAATATCTTTTAGTTATTTTGAGTGGAAACAGATAGGCCTATTTATTGCAGTGTAAAATTGTCTGACTCGGCGCGTCACTAACAAAGTATTTTAAAAAGGAAACGTATAAATCTTACCGTTTTCTTCAAGTCGTATCCTTCAAATACAGCGGTACTTTTCATAATGTTGTAGAGATGCCTTAATTCACACGACATCAACACCTCTGTGCAGCTACGGTTAACAGTAAGATATTATCATTGGACCTATTCAAACTGGATAATGGACAGTTCGACCACTGCATCCAGAAGTGTCCGCCATAATATCGAAGTAAGTGCGCATCATTGGTCATTGTTCTCGCTAAAAAATATTTTCTCATAACATGAGATCTGCACTTCAGTTTAAAGATGAATTATTGTGCACCTATAGCACTCCTCGCTGTCAATAAAAGAGGAAAAGTGATCAAGCGCATTTACTACAAATATGTCTAAATTCATATAATTTTGGTTTAAGTTCTGCTTAATGACTTTATGTAATTTCTGTCCTTATCTCCATATGAGATTGAAATATTTAATGTAAATGTATATATATATCGACATGAAAACAGAGCTTAAAATCATTGTTTTTACTTCATTAATTTTCTCACTCAAGGAAACAGAGTTCGTACGCATGGGTCAGAGTTTGCGTGCAGGTGCGCAAATTTTCCCGTCAAGTTTGTTTTTATAAATCCCATCTTTTGCGCAGGAAGTGGCGTAAGCCTCTTTCAGGGCTGTTTTTGTGCGTACGCAACGGTTATAAATGAGGCCCCAGGCCAGTTTGTTCTCGGTTCAGTGATTCAGTAAGTTGGTGAATCGAGAACCGCTAATACCGAGTCCGTCCGTTTCGTGAACGAACAGTTCGGAAAGGTTTTGCAAACCGGTTCAATCGAGTCATTAAAAAGATCCGACTCAAAAGAACGAATCGAGAAATTTTACTCTGAAATACGGCTTACTCGAAGTGGAGAACATTGTGCTCTTGCAAAAATTTTTTGTTCTGTTTCTGTTTCTGTTTTATTATAGTATGCCTTTAAACGTATAGGCAATATACATATTCTTATAGGGAATTATTTATAATAAAACTGCAAAGTTGAAATACGGCTTACTCGAAGTGGAGAACATTGTGCTCTTGCAAAAATACGATATATGTCTGTTTTATTATAGTATGCCTTTAAACGTATAGGCAATATACATATTCTTATAGGGAATTATTTATAATAAACCTGCAAAGTTTAACTTATTACAGAACTACCTTTATCGCGCAACTTTTGCATATTTCAGGCAGGATTATTGGATCATTTGATATGAATGGTAACAACAAGAATAACAAGAATGTTGTTGCTGTTTCCCTTCTAAAACAATTGGTTAAAACAAGATGATGGTGGAAAAGTTAAATTATATGACGGACACATTAATTGTTTATTGTAGTATATAAAGTATAGTGTGTGTGTATATACCAATTTATTTTAAGTATGCATGATATTTTTTACTAAAGATAGATGCGCAGTTGCGCACGACATGGGTGGGAACGCTTAAAGCTTGTTGATGATTTAGACGGGAAAATCTAAGTGTAACACAATAGTCTGTCAACATGGCCGCCCCCTCAAGGGATTTTTTAAGAGGTCAGTTTTGAAACGTTAAATATAATTTTACGTATGTTCTTTATATTCCGTTATATTTTCAGAGATTATTAACATGAAAACTGTCATGTGCAGAATACTTGAGCTGATGTGTTAAATATAGCGCTGTGCATCTATACAAGCTAACGACGTTGACCACGATCGCTTATAGTTATGCTTATCAAGAGAAATGATCCCTCTGCTTTTACTTCTTTAATAAAATGCTTAGATGAAGTTACATTTTGGCTAGCCCAAATTTTTCTATCCTTAAATGAAGATAAGACTGAGGTGATTGTTGTTGGGCCCTCTGATAATTCTCAGGCAACCAGCTTAGATCTGGGTAGTTTATCAGTGTTTAGATCTTCACGTGTACGGAACCTGGGAGTTTTGTTAGATGAGTCCTCAAACCTTGATAAACATATCTCCTCCGTAATAGGTTCTAGTTTTTATCAACTTCGCCTGTTATCAAAAATCAAACCTTTCTTAAATCATAAATCGTTAGAGATGGATCGTTTCTCTTGTGTTATTAATATATTTATTTATTTTATTATTAAGGCGAGACCCTGTTTAATTGTGTAGCTGTGCAGATTTTTATATTCTTTTTACTATTTTGAATTTCTGTACAGCACTTTGGTCAGCCGTGTGGCTGTTTTATACGTGCTATATAAATAAACTGAAACTTGAAACTTATGTGAATTTATGCAGTGCGTCTGTATGAAGGATAAAGTATACTTATAGAATTTTAATAAATTTGAACCACTAATTGGCTAATTAAAATGTAATCATTAACATGTCATTTGGCCCAATCATTTTGATTCTGCTTTACACAAGTGTCCTGTTTCACGCACAGTTTTACCCAGATGTCAGAGGCTGTTCTTCACATGCAGAGCTCCTTCTGTCTCCTACAGCTCACTGACTGCACACAGACAGCAATCTGTCAGATCCTACGCTGCTGCTGCTGCCGCCAAGTGAGTTCTCTTAACACTATTTAGCCTGGATTCGACGTGCTGACAAACTTAGAAACCATGCGAGAAAAATCTATATGCAAAGAAGAATCATGTTTCTCATTAAAACTCTCTTTGTAGGCAGAAAGAGAAGAAAGAGGAGACTGTTCAAGAAAAGGTGGTGAAAGAAAAACAAAAGGTTGATGACAAAAACAGACACAAACCCTATGGACTCACAGCCTGGGCTCCAGTAGATGATGTGTACATGGTGAGGTACTATCCCAAACCCATCTATGAGACATCCGTGTCCATTGAAATGCTGAAGAACTTTCAGAAGCTGGACTTCAGTCCCGAAAACCAGCCTGTATATACTAACCTACGTCTAGACATGAAGCTGGAGAAAAAGGTACATTTTGGGTGGTTATTTTCTTAAAATAGCCTTAAGTAACTTTTGCTTAAAAGAATAAATGTACTTTTGCTTTTAAATTCATAAAAACAAACACCATTGTTCAAACATTTGTGGTTGGTAAAAACTGTTATAATTGTGAGATGTTCTCTATTTTAATATTTTTTAAAATATGATTTATTCCTGGCATGGCAAAGCTGAATTTTCAGCATCATTATTCCAGGCTTCAGTGTCACATGATCCTTCAAAAATCATTAGAATATGCTGTTTTGATGTTCAAGAAACACATCTTAATGTTATCAGTGTTGGAAAAAAAAAACTGCTAGTTAATATTTTTTGTGGAAACTGTGATACATTTTTCAGGATTCTTTGATGAAGAAATAGTTCAAAAGCATTTAAACAGTATTTATTTGGAAAAAAACTAAACAAAATGTAGTATTAAAGTCTTAAACTCACTTTTGATCAATATAATGCAAATAAAAACCAAAAAAAAAACTCGCTGACCCCAAACTTTTAAACAGTAATGTACTCATTTAAACATTCAATTAAATCCGCAAACTAGTGTGACTAGTGTGCTGGAAATATGTTCCAGGAAAAGCTTTTCTGTGCTTTAGTTACAGTTGTTAAATCAGAGTTGTTCTGGAGCTGTTCATGCTTTAATAAATTAAATGCATCAAGTTCAAAATTTCTACACAGTTTCTTGAAGATTCTTTTATTTTGTATGAAAAAAAGTTAAAATATTCATCAGTACATCAGAACAGTTGCTGAAATAATGAACTGTGATGTTGAAAAGCATTTAATATGTGACTAATGCAGAAGTCTGCCTGTTCTTGTGATGGTTTCTTTTAAATTAAATCTATATATTGTTAAATAAACTACAAACAGTGTTATTTTGAGTTAATTGAATGAAAAATACTCTTGTCAGTTGAATAAATGTTCTTACTAGCTATGTTGCAATGTTTAAGAAAACATTTCAGCACTCAGCATTATAACTGCAACAAACAGTCACATTTGAACACAACATTATGACTTTCCATTGTTTTTGTTTCAGAAAAAAGTGGATCCGTTTGTTAGCATAATTCATTTACCACATCCCTTCAAGTCGGACATCAACAAAATAGTGGTTTTTACTGAGGTGGGAGCATCACTCTGTGGTCTATTATGTTAAACATTACAGGTGTCATTGACTGAACTGATTTGATATAATTTACAGCTCCATTAAAGGAGGCTGTACATTTTACATGCATTAATTGTAGAGTTATGGCTTTACAGAATCCAGATCAAGCCAGAATAGCAGTGGAGAATGGAGCAGCAGTTGCAGGTGGAGCAGAACTGGTTGAGAAGGTAAAGCTCATGAGAACTTATCATTGCTGGTAGAAATGTAATTCCTGCATATACTGTTTAAAGGTTTGCTTGTGTAAAAAATGGCTGTTTATTTTTATTGTGTTCAAAAAGTTCCCATTTACCCTGAATTCAATCTGTGTTTCGGCTATCACATAATAATAATATATTGATTTTGCAATTACAGTTGCAATTCCCTAAATACTTTGTGTGCCTTTTAATCAATGTTGATGACAGATTTTAGCTGATGAGATCACAGCAGATTTTTACTTGGCTGTGCCAGACATTGTACAAAAGCTGCTCCCTTTGAAGAACAAGCTGAGGAAGAAGTTTCCCAAGAGCAAGAGAGGTCAGTGAGTTGCACATATATCAGGCATGTTCTATTAATGTGCAACTAAACGGAGGTTAAATGGCTCTTTGTGTTGCTTGCATCAGGATCAGTTGGAATGAATATTCCCAAAATGCTTGCATTGTTCAAGAGTGGTCATGAATACATGGTTGAGGACATCTATGTCAACACACAAGTTGCAACAGTAAGTCACATTGAACTTCTTTGAGTGACAGACACTATTCGTAATAAAGTAAGAGAGAACAGGGTGGTATCTGCTTATTTTCACATCGATGAGGCTTTTCTCCCCCACTTTGTTAACATAATTTGTTTTTTTTAAACAGCTGGACATGCCAAACGAGTATATTCTAGAAAACATTCGTGCCATTGTAAAAGATGTGGCAAGCCATAAACCAGCAGAATTTGGTCAGTAATTTATGTATGAAGTGATTTTATTTATTGTCCTAACCACCTCACAAATTCTGATTATATTCACGTTCTTTTGTGCAAATGCCTAGGCTGAATTCCTTTGATCATTTAAAAACTATACAGTTGTGACTACATGTATACAGTCATGGTCAGAATTATTGGCACCCTTGGTAAATATGATCAAAGAAGGCTGTGAAAATAAATCTGCATTGTTAATCATTTTGATCTTTTATTAAAAAAATTCACATAAATCTAACCTTTCATTGGAGAATAAGAATTTAAAATGGGGGAAATATCATTATGACATAAATGTTTTTCTCTAATACACATTGGACACAATTAACGGTACCCTTTTATTCAATGCTTTTTGAAACCTCCTTCTGATTCTTTAATTTTATCTTCTATTTCTTCTAACACTTCCTCAAATCTTATTCTATCGTGGTTTATCATCTTCTCTAATGCTATGCGTGCCTGTCTATAGCATTCCATCCGTAAATATCCTTCACTTTCTTTTCTCTCTTGCCTCTTTGTTTTCACAGCTGGTTCCTTTTTTTTCTTCCTACTCTCA